CTTTTTTATTCTTCGCTTCTTCTGTTTTATTCTTTGCTTCTACGAACATTGGTGGATTTTTTCAATCTCTTATTACGATAAAGGTTAATATTCCTTACTGTTGCGTATTCACAAAACAAATCGACTTCCTCACAAACGCTTTCGCACTAAGCGCTTCATTTGGATAGATTTGATTGAAGTTTGATTGGAATTTTGATTGAACCACTGAGCTCGGCAAATAAATTATCTGGCAGTCTTTACTATTTCACGACATTATTCCCTATATACAGATTCTTCGATCTTTAGTCTACACCGTTTTTTTTCCCCCCTTCACGCTCCTAAAACACACATTCTCAAAATCTAAGGATGAACAAAGAACTAACTTGTTATTTTCAACATTCATTCGCATTTGATTTAGATCCATCGGTCTTTTGATGACTTTTTTATAAAATGGTACTTCTTTAGTATCAACAGGATACTGAAACGGCCCCGACTCAGGTCTCGCCCACAGCTCATCCAGCATCGTGCTGTAATTTTCCTATCATTTTTAAAATAAAATTACCGAAAACTGTCGAAATTTGATGGAAAAATGCATGAATTGGATCTCAGAGATCATCTCATTTCAGTTATCTGACAAATGCGCCCCGAAAAATTAGAATTAAAATTCAAGATTTTCTAAACGAACTTAAAAAGGTTCTTCATCATATCTAGAGGAAAATCATAGTCGGCTGGTGTCATTCTTCGCCTATGTCGTGGAGCTTCTTGACGTCCGCTTGCATCCTCCTGTACGCAACCAGTTTGCTTTTCCTGGCCCTCCTGTTGAGCAAGCGCTATTTCCACATCACCATTTAGAAGAGAATTTGCGAGTTCTGTCGAGAAACCATCAGCCTTAAAATTGGAACCAAATTATTATATCTAAAAAATCAATAATTTATATTCTAGACGATAAGAGATGCCATCCGAAAAATAGATGGAAATATGAGATAAGAATGTCAGAACATGTGAAAAATTAAGACAGATTTTAGAGTAATCTAGCGCATAACAGATCAAAGCTTACATTGAGGCAGCCCGGACAGGTCCATTGTTTGGGATCATTAAGTGTTGGTGAACGATCGAAACAAGATGCATGGTAACCATTGTAACATTTCGAACATACGATAATCGGTTCCAGAGGCTGCGAATTTGGGCGATTCCACTTGGCACAAAGAAGGCAAAGCACCTTTCGACAGGCTCGCTGGACACATAAAGGGCAGTACCACTCACCATCTGGGACTGTAGCTATTCGTGGCTAGAAGTACACAGTTGACAGTTAGCAAGACAGGGTTCAAAACTCCAACTTTCAAAATCTTCACAACTTACACGGAAGCAGTACATATGATAACCCATGTCACAAGCATCACAAAGTAACAGTTGACTTTCATTCTCACTTGTTCGACAAATCTGACAGCTCGCTTTCATTATCGATTTTTCCCATGCAATGGCTGAGTCCAAAGCCTAAATTTCATTGACTCAAGTACTGGAATCAAAATTAATCCGCTAATTAAAATCACGAACAAAAACCGAAGGTATCACAGACGAAACATCCTGCACTTCTTCATTCCGCAATTCATATCTATTCGGGCTTTTGAACTATCCCTCCAGAAACACAAATTGCTCTCTGATAAGAAACTGAATAATTGAACATTTGCATTTTTTATTCTTATAAATATTTTTCATAAATAAGTATAATAAGAAGTAGTAGGAAAATGAGTATGGCAAACCTTGAAATTTTCCTATAAAAAAAAGTGCCGACTTGAAAGATGGATCATCTTGACAACAATACTTATTCAAAGCTAACCTGCAGTGCAAACATAATTTGTCCACCAGTTTTAGCTTGCTGAACGTAATTACGCCAACGCTGTAAAAGTTCAGTATTACCACTTTCATCAACCGTGATAGCGGCACCATCAAACGGACAATTGGAGTTGATTGAATCACTAGTTTCTGATTGGACTTCACTAACATCTACGATGCTACTTGTATCTGCACTGCTACCATTTTGATTATTCTGTTGTTGAGTGCGCAGGATCTTCTCAGCCGGTATCGTAGAACTGAAATTTAAAGTTGCTAAAAAATTCTTTCGCAAACACAAATGATATAAAACGAAGCGAGAAGGAATAGCCATGATTCAAATGCTGTAGTTCTTTTAAATCTCCATAAACGTCATAATTTCAGAAATGATACCGCTTTTGGCAAGAATCATTTTTTAAAGGAATTTCTAACGATTGTTCGTAAACATAATGAAATGAAAACAAAGTGAACAAACAAGTATATCTCCGACGAAATATAAATTTCCTACTCAAAGAAATAAAAATTGAACCTCTTCGTAGTATTCGCAGTATACGAAGAGATTCAATTTTTATTTATTTTGATAACGGCTGAATGGATTTTAAAGTGATAACAACTCAAAACGTATCAATAAAGGGTGGGCAAAAATTAATGGTTTTTAGCTGGAATATAAACGTTTTCTAAAAGATATAAATAAAACAACATCAATCGTGCATTTTTCCAATTATCAGGTAATATACCTTGCTGAGCGATTGCTTTCTTTAAAAACAAGAACATTAAACGAAACAAAATTCTTACCCTGCATAATAGCGATGAAGCAAATACCGACGTTCAATACTTTTCTCGACTTCTAAAAGTCGCACTTTCAACGCTTTGAAATTATCCCACTCGAACAGTGGACAGTCTTCATTAATTTCTGCTTCATCAGTCAATACATAACCATCATCCAAAGTCCAAGCATCCAGACTATCTTCACTTTCTGTATCATCGTCGCGGTTATCTCCAGTCGGAAACATTGGCTGAAAGAACTTTAAGATTTTTTTTCATCAAGTGTTTTGATTTAAGCTAAAATCATCTTTTTCTTGCACCAGCAATTTAGTTCAATTTAGTTAAAATAGAAAATTTTTTACAATTTTTATGGAAACAAATCCAATCTTGAGTTCAAAAAAATCACTTACTCGACAGTGAATATTGGCTGCGACAACTTTTTGTTCAAATGATGAAATAAGGGCAGCAAGTCTTATTATCATTGCTTTGTTGATTTCGTTGTTTGTCAACGGCCGACTAACACGCTCCAATTTTACTGAAATTTAGTGATTTCAGAAGTACAAAATGCTACAAAAAGAGGACAAAAAGTATGATAGACAGAGTACTTCTGCTTGTCAAAGAGCGAAGAAACCAAAATATTTTAGATTATGCAAATCGAATTTTAAAATTTTGTAGCAAAGGTATCCTGTTTAAATCTTTCTCATAAAATGTTGAAACTCCATTGCAAGATAGAGGTGGCAATGATTGATAGATATGGAGTATGATAAAATATAAAAGGATATAAATTATAAAAGATTATGCCATAGTGATTGGCAGAAACGATCGTTCTGAACTCTCAAATGCTTGACTATTTAGTTAATTCAACAGAGCGGTTTGATGTCTAGCAACATAGGCACTTGCATCGCAGAAACTCGTTTCTAGCTCACTGAAGGATGAAAATATTAACAAAAGAATATTCTGATTGCTGACAACGCAACTACAGATCATTCATTTTCGACGAATGAAAATGGAAATCACAATTTAAGAATAACATCAAGACATTCTTTACGGTAATACCTGCAAAGTTAATTATACTTACATTGAGTACTTGGATTGAATGTGAAATTGTCTTTAATAAGCAAACGATGTAATACCCGCTCCCGTATACCTCGACCGTGAAACGCACCCCGCAGTTGCTCCATTAGTTTCCCATTTGATATCATCCACCAACCACGTTTGCACTTGTTATCCAGTCTACGTAAACGTACTGCAAAAAAAGAAATTTGATGATGCAGATCTAAACGAAAAGTTCAAATGTGAACGAACATAAATTTGAAGAAAGAATACGATTTAAATTCTTGTATTATAATAGATTTTAATATACCTTTTTTTCCTCTGTCTGGGCGTTCTTCATTGCCACATAAAGTATCCAGGATATCTTCCAAACAAGCAATGACATTCGGATCGATAAAATTTTGCGGATCCTCTGCAAAAAGCGAAAATTCAAGGGTGATTTTATATTGCTTTATAAGCTAAGACAATGAACCGAACATTTATGCAAATCTAAACTTAATTAAGCTAAACAATAAGGAACCAGCAATGGATGGCGGATCCTGCCGACAAGTGATATCGACATTAACCGGCTTATCCACACAAAATGCCGCTTTCACTTGTTACACTGAGCTTTGGCACTCGTGAACCATGCGATATTGGTGTACATTATAAAATTTATGATGCTAGTGATG